TAGGAAACAAGACTTCAAGACCACGGCCACACAGCCCGGAAGACCCACACCAGCCATCGTATGCCGGCTGTGAAAGCCTTCGACAATACAAATATTATAAATGTTAGCATCCAAAAATGGATTAAAAGGTAGTCATAAATGCCAGGAGAATGTTGAAAAAAGATAAGGCTAGAGCTGTAACTAATGAAACTGGAGCAATGTCAAATATATATGGATGTGTTTGCTAATAGAATAGCTGTGTGGCTTGTTTAATGAGTGTGAAGACTGTATCTGTGCTGACAATGGGAAGAATGTGATTACTATTCTATTATACAAATGGAAATATAACACAAGTGAATGCAAAAACTATTTGTTAAGTGTGCCAGGGAGATCCTCAAAGAGAGAGATATGAGAATTTTAAAGAACAAAAGGCAGTATACACATTGGTGGAGGGACATGTGGAGGTTTGCACCAAGTTAAGGAGAGATACGCTAAAAAGTATTGGTATAAACAATTTGATTTAGATTTCCTTTCCTTTCTCTTAGTTCCTGCCTTTCACTCTTTTTATTCAATACTTCTGCCCTTTGCACAATGTTGCTTACCCTGAATGGAATAGATGATGTGTAAATATATGTACTGTATATACTGTATATTATTTTTAATTTAATATTAATTTGCCTGTGGGAGAAGGATGTCACAAACTCAATGGTGATAGTAAACATTTAGATTATGCAGATTAAAACATATTGATCTGCAAAAGGTTTCAACAATGAGATAGTAGACCATGTAAAGGAAAAAAAATTGGGAACTGCTGGCTTTGTCCTGGCAGATGTGGGTGGTTTTAGCTATGTACACTGTCTGAATGTTCTTTTTTCACTGCTGAGCTCTGATTTTTGGCCTATCCAATTGCTTTTTATATATATTTTCTTCCTTGTTTGTTCCTATAAGCAGCTTTTTGTTATTTCATCTTATGAGCCTGGTGCCATTTCTGGATATCATGGCCAAGTCATGAGCCCTTTTCTTCACAGTTCACCTTTGCAACTGTATATGTGTCTTCTCTGTCCCAATTTCCCACTGCAGCTTTTGTAATTTTCCAGCTCAACCTTCACTCATACTCTAAAATACAGCATATTATCCTAGCCTTTATAAAAATCAATGCAGTAATACAGACTAGGATAAATGGATAGTTATATAAAGCATTACATCATACGCATACACAAACGCTAAGAATATAACTGCATTGCCCTTACATTTTATTACAAGCCCCCTTTCCAATTGACCCCAGAGGAATAGATAGATTTTTAATAGTTAGGCTAACTTTCCACCTGATCTTACAGCTTTATTAGTATGATTTATTTAGAATGATATATTTTGAATCCTTAACTGAGGATGCCTGGATGGCAAATTAATGCAGCGACAGAAGCAGTACCAGAGGTATTCAATAAGAAACTCTATGGGAAGAAACTCTTTCTTACTTGGGATTGATAGTGTTGGTCATTGGAAGAACACAGAATGCCCAGGTTTTGGGGGTGGGGCAATTCCCAGCAGCAGATTGGAATGAAAGGGTTTTTCAAGCGTGAGTAATGCTGTCAACGTTACCCTGCAACTGTTTAGATGCGAACTTGGTGCACCAATTTGTAGTCTGTTCCTTATCTTTCTTGAACAGAATACTTTCAGTGATGATCCTATAGGGAGAATTAAAATATGTGATTAAAAATAAAAAATAAGAAATCACACTGAATAAAAGTTGGATTGAAATTGGACCCATTACTTGTAATTTTAATGCTGTTATGAAATAATGAACTTTTATTTAGCAGGCCTTGATACAAATGGATTTTGGATGCAATGGACAAAAATCCTGCTGTATTTATGATGTTTTATGTCATTTGCATGTCATACAAATCATGTAATTTGTGCCAGTTTGCATCATCTGTGCAATGATGTCATTATACAAAGACATAAAACAATGCCAATAACATAATTTGTGTAATGATGTTGCTGCAAATGACTTCCTATCTGATTTAATGGACAGTCAGGAAAAATGGATACCACCTTGGTCCATTAAGACAAGATTTCCCTGTATTTAACTTTCCTCCCCATTAAAATTATTATACAACTGAAAATTATGTCTAAGTCCAATCCATGAAAGTCTTTATAAAATAAGAAGGTTGAGCTATTTCTAAATTTTGCATGGCTTTTTCCCAAAATCATACCTATATGATAGTGCATCATGACTTGATGCTGGTCATATAAAGCCAGAGAGGATCTACAAGGACCTGAGTCTCACTTCCATATTTCTGCACGTATATACAACCTTTACAAATAGTTTTAAATCCACCTCATCACCCCAAAGCTTATATCTCTATTTGTACTCATGAATTTTTTTAAAGCTGATCCCATCCACCATAGCAGGAGGAACATTTCTCTTGTTTTATGTTATGTGCCCCTTGATTTCTGCAACATTTTTTCCAAATATGTAGGGGTCGGCAAGTGGAGAATGCCCCTTTCTCTATCCATCCATCCTTGAAAATCCAGAAACCAGGTATGACTTGCCTTCGCCAGGCACTCCACTTGTTCTCCAGTATGTGAGGAACAGCCGGGACCACTGCTTGCTTCACCCCATCCCAGCTCATAGCAGATGGAGACTTATTTCCTCAGCTTTGTACTGGTCCTTTGCAGTTTTTAGTATCCTGCGTGTGAGAGGAAGGGTGAACAGGAAAAGTTTATTTGCTTTTACGCGCTCATTGCCATGCTAGAAAAGAAGACCTGGAAATCAAGCCCAGTCTTGGGTAATTGAAAGGCGGGCCACTTTGAAGAGGTGAATAGGCAGGTATGGATGTATCTGAAATTGAGGAAGATTTAGTTTCTGATGTTATATGGACCCAGTATTCATACCTTTAATATGAATGATTGTGAGAAAGAACTTCCAGCAATGTATTATAGTCCCAATCCTGGCTATACATTTCATGAATTTAGATATCCAGTATGCCGTTCCTGTCTTTCTGCCATCCTCCCCCTTAATTATCCCCTACCAGCAGGAATTTGGTGGAATGCATTTCTTCTCCAGAGGGACCCAAGTCTGCTCTTTTTGGCCCCAGTGAAGACCCAAACTTGTGTTCTTTTATTTATTAGGATCTATGCTGTTATTCATTGGTGACATTTTTTGCATTGCTTCATATCATTCTAATGTTCTTGGTCTACCACAGTATTTCTCCACCTTGACAATTTTAAGATGGGTAGACTTCAACTCCCAGAATTCCCCAGCCAGCATGTTGGTTGGGGAATTCTGGGAGTTGAAATCCACCCATCTTAAAGTTGCCAAGGTGCAGAGACGCCGTTCTGCCGTCTAAAGAAGCCTTGCTATTTGGGAGTCGGAACTGCAACCACCTTTGACCCCCTTAAGCAAGCGAAGGGCTCACCGCACGTTGCCACCCGCTCCCAGCTCCAGCCACGTGCCTGAGCCGCCTATGTGGGGGGAGTCAGGCCCCAACCAGTGGCTCACCAGGAGACCGGAAGACGCTCTCCCTCGCGCAGGCGCCCTGAGCGTTCCGTGGCGGGAGAGCTCGACTCACCGGAAGGGGGCGAGCCGACGGGCGCGTGCGCAGAGGCCTGACGGGGCAGCGGCGGGTTGAAAGTGGCCAGAAGATCCGGCGCCGGAGCTGGCGGCGGCCTCGTCTCTTGCCTCTCCCTGAGCGGAGTGTCGTGGCCTTCAAGGGTGCGGACGGCCGGGGAGGGTTCGCCCATCCGTCCCGTGGCTTCTCAGCGTCTTTTCTCACGTCCTGTCGCAGTAGGTGCCGCTTTTGGGCTGCCTCGTTCTTCGGTTCGTCTCCCGCTTTTGTGCCGGAGTCACGGCCGTCCAAGCAAGGCGCCTGCAAGGCAGCCCCTGAACCCGCGGCTAAGAGAGAGCCGAGATGGCGGGGGGGGGGGGGGGGGGG